TTTCTGCTCGTTCATCATCGCCATACGTTCCTCGATTTCCTGGAAAACCGACACAATCAATACTCGGGCTAAAGTATAACTGCTGTACTACTCGGGTTTACCCTATAATTTGCATTATGGGGCGCAGTTCTGGGGAGATTTCCTTGGTCCTAAAAAGAAGGTATTTCTCCAAGATAGTAAAGGTAAGAAGCTTGCGAAATAACGAATTTCTTCAGTTCTGTTTACTTCCGCCGTTCACTGGAATATCGATCAGGGCCCCAGGTAGTTGGATTTGGGGAAAGGACTCCACGACGAACGATTATCCGGAAAATTTCAGAAGAAAACGAACGCTTTTATTTCCCCCCCCCCCCTCGTGGTGCTCCTTTCCTTCAGCATACCGTAACTTGACTCCCTGAGACAATCGTACTCACCGTGTTAGTTCCACGAGTAGCCTCAAGCTGAGCGAGCAGATCGGCTGTCTCTCGCTTGAGTCGTTCGGCATTTTCGGCCAACTGAGCCTTGAGTGCTTCTTCCTTTTCGAGAGTTTCCTTCAGTGTTGCCACTGACTCTTGCAATTTCTCGTATTGCTCTTCGATCTTGCCCGATTGGATCAGCGGTTTCACCTTGAATATCGATTTTTGGTGGATCAATGAAAGTCACCGAGTGCTGCTCATGCTCACCTTTCCGTACAGCTTGAACCAAGACCAGGTGCGGAGCATGGCCCAGTTGCGGATATTTCTCTGGATACCTTTCACCGCCTCGATCTTCTCTTTGAGACGTTTCTTCTCGATCTGGAAGGGGTGAATCAATACGAAAGCAAAATAAAATAACAAATATAGCTCACAAAAAATTTTCGTTGGATCAAACGTTTTGAAAATGATTTTTGGACTTTCCAATTGTTTTCTCGGGGAATAACTTGACCGATACAAAAATTGCCGGATTATTGCCAAGAATTTTTTTTGAAACAGTTTCTACAGGCTCCACCCACGAAGCCGCACTGACGCTGCACTCATTTTGAGCAAGTTATCGTCCACACCAGGGCACATAATTGGTTGGGGATCTTCGTCGAGTCTACGACCCCCCCCCTTTTCAAGGCGGTAATACGAGCCCCTACCCTGGATCGCCTCCTCGTCGGCTATCGAGCCGGGAGCGGAGGGGGGGGGAGAGAAGGTGTAGAGGTATATAGTACACATAAATCAGGAAAAACCACGGAAAGTCAGCAACCTCTCTCAGAAGGTCAGAAATACGACCCAACCCTCTCCCAACAAATGAACAAGACGCCCCCCCCTTTACAATATCCTGAAACGAAAAAAACAAGAATAAAAAAAATTTCCTCAGCCCCAATACGCCCCCCCCCCTCTCCCAGCGATCAAATACGACCCCCCCCCCCTGTTGGGGAAACTCGTCCAAAGGGGCGGTCCACCTGTAAGGCATAGCGCCATGGGCCTCTGTAGTCGTAACAACTATTTTATTCTTTTCGCTAATGTAGCTATTTCAGCGAATACCGCATTTATACACTTTGCAAAGGTGTTTTTCATGAAGAAGATCAAAAAACAAACCACTTGGTAGTACCATCTGATCTGAGCCTGCAAGCCGGTGATCAACTCAGCAAGACGAATGTCACGTAGATCTTCAAGATGGGCCACAATACCAGCCTGAAATTGTTTATTTCAGTTTTGTAGCGCTGTAAATTGCTTTGTACTGCCCTAGCTAGATTGAGACTCTAGATTAATTTTGGGCCTTCAGTGGGCAAAATACTGCACGACAAAGTATGTCAATTATATGAGATAACTCGTCCAAAGAGGGGTAGCCAAGACGAGTGCTTTCAGCCTTCCTTTCGAGAATAATTCAAACAAATGCGAAAACTCGTCCAACGGTATAAAGGTCTCCCTCTGTTCGCTCCTCCTCATCGTACCTCCCGGGAAAAAATGAACGAACATATGGAAGACCTGTTTCTTTTAATGGGCATTCGAAATCATTTTTTCTTTACCTGTTCTACGTTCGAGCCCTCTTTCTTTCACGTAGAGTAACCTTTGTGGAACATTTGGAGGTGGCTGAGAAGGAGATAAGACTTAAGGACGCAGTCCTTGGCGACCAGATGGTCGAGCTCATGACGATAATACGCTCACGGTTAGCGCGCTCTTATCTTCTTAGAAGGAGGGGGCATGAATGAGGGAGGCAGAGTAGTTATGAGGCTCCGCCTATCCAAACTTGGTGGAAAGCGCTTTTGAAGGGTTCCTCTTTTCGAGAGTTAGAAGAATAATTAATTCAGGACAAGCATTGAAGAGAGGCGAGGATATTACTGAAGATAAGCCCTTAAAGGCAAAACCCGCGCATCGCCTGGCTCATCCACAGATAATCGCTTTCAGGTTTCCATATGGACGGCAAGGTTCTAACTCGATAATGAGGCAAAAAGAGAAAAAAAACATGCCAACGGCCCTAAATAGAGCCTCATTCTGGTCAGTCCCCAAGTTCTTGTACGGTGCTCAATCAACTCTAGTCTTCCCACACTGGCGTACCGTCCGCACTGCATATTCTCCGATTAGAACTCTTACTGTAAGACCATACCCTACCTCTCTCTGACTTAAAGGGTTTTTTTGTCCTGCAGCTTCCTTTTTCACTGAAAGGCGGGCCTTGAAGGCGGAGTCTGGAGGCGGAGTCACTGGAAAAAAGGAGGCGTCACTGAACCTGTATTGCGCTATAGCGCCCCTTCCTTACATTTTTTGCCCACAAAACAATTGTTCGTGCGGACAACACTCCCTCATTCCGCCGCCAATAATTCAATCTCTATGCCAGACCCTCCCGATGCCATATCTTCAACTTCTATACCTGACCGCGGACCGTGCCTTTAAAAAAGTCACGAGGGACTGACAACTCACCTTGAAGAACACCTTGGTGAGACCCACACGGAAGTTCTCATCGGTGAGCTTCTTTTCTTTGACCAAACGAGCCAACATTTCGGTGGCACCCTTCTGAAATTGAGTTAGCATTCACTTACGGTCTGCAACAAACTGACCTTACCCACCTAAGTAGGCATATGTTTTTTTTCAGGTCAGAAATCCCAAATTCAACTCACTTTAGGGTCATCTTTTCCAAGAAGTGCCTGATCAGCTGCGAGGATTGCGTAACGTTGTACGAAATCGGGATGAAGCGTACGATTTGGGAAACCTTTACGGCAAATACGAATACCTTCCAGTACACCGTTACAGGTAAGTTGATTAAGCACCAGAGAAGCATCGATCACACCTGCAAGAGTCTCAATCAACATCTACGGGGGGATTGAACTCGAGTTGATGCCAAAGTAACAGTTGCCCCTCCTTTCCTACTGACAAAGAAAAATGACCAACCTGAGGCTTTCTTCTCGTTGGGGATGATGCAACGGATGAAATGTGGGTGAGTTTTGTTCAGCATTCCCATCAGGTTGTTCAATGATTCACGATACAGCATAGAGACAGTCATGAACGAGCCCGATTTACCCTTCTTCTTTGCAGAGGTAGCACCTGAACAGGCACTGTATTTCTTATATTCCACATTGATATCAGTACATCATAGTTTACAACGAAAGGAGTCGTAGTTTGGCCGCCAGAGAGGACCATCGTCATCTCCCTCCCCAACACCATCCCCTTCCCTCTCCCTAGTTAGCGGCTGCGCAAAGCTGCTATATAATCTGTATTCCTTATATAAGATGTGGTAGTTGTTCAGACAGGCTCAGCGGGCTGTGGCAGGCGGGCAGTTATTGCCAGCGTCATTGGTGGAAGAGCTGCGAGAGGGCGTTTGGCCACACCCCACTCAGCCCTTCCACCAATGACGTTGGCGACAACCGCCCGCCCCCAGCCATCGTGCCCACTGCCTTTAATTTTTTAACGTTGAATCTGAAATACATACCTTTTACGGCAGCAGCGGCCTCTTCCTGAGTCTGATAGTCCTGCCAGACTTCGACAAGGAGATCGTTTTTCTTCGAGTTCTTCATCACTTGTACCACGGAGTCGTTCAGAGGATCCTTGTTCTTCTCCAACCAGTTGGTCACATTGTAACGTACAGTACCAGCATAATGGCGCATAGCGAAATTGGGCTTCACCCTGAAATCAAATTCGAATTTCTTCCAATTGAATGTGAAAAGGTTGCCGAAATATTTAAAATGAGTTTCGACAGATATTCGATACAGACTCCCTCAGAAGTTCCTGAATCCTGACATACCTGCTTGCCCTTAGGTGGCTTGGGTTTCTCGAAGTTTGGATGTTTGCCAAGATGTTGCTCGATTAGTTTTTGCGCCAACGTCAGATCAGTAGCTTTTGGTACGATACATTCCTCGTCCAACATGGAGATAATACCCAGTGGCTGAAACAGTGAGTTGTGGTGATTTGCGTAAGTGAAAAATTTTTAAGCCATCAAATTTGCACTAATTCCGTCATATTGCTACTTCAAATTGAACAGAAATTTCCATTGAGGGACTTGTGCCCGAATTATTTCCGACACACTTACACAATAGACATTTGTTTTTGGCCATGCCCATTTTGGCGCGATGTAGACGCCAATTGCACCCACACGAGAACCTACCAAAATCGAGGAAAATTTGTATAACGGAGGATTGACACCTTATTAAATCCGATGCGGGCTATACAAGGACTTCGTGCCCAGCGAGTACAAGTCAGTGTTTACCTCCCAGACGATCCTGGGGACCAATCACCGTCCCCGGAGGGTAGAAGCTGGTTCGCTGAGCGAGAGTCCTGATCCGGATTTGAACCCGGCGAGCGCAGAGGGTAAGCGCCGCACTTGTCACTCAACACCACCTAAACGCCAGACTTCTCTCAATGCCCTACGACCGACTCCTCCTCACGAACAACGATCAAATACTACCCTAGCCTAGCGGCAGAGTACAACCTCGGCCTCCAAGTCGTTTCACGCAACGATGCCTGTAGCCCGAACCAAAGGACTTTCGCACTCTAAAAAGCTCAGCCCTATCAAAGCGCCATTCGCTGGGTCAAGGGTGGCAGGACAGTCCTTTTATTAGCAATTTGTTGGGAAAGCACCGTGGGAATCTATTTCTATTGAAATAGCAATTTTGGCCTAAACAACTTGGAAGCAGTGTTGTAAAGGGGGAAATTAGGAGCTGAGGTTCGCTGTCAAGAAATCCCCGTACTTGACAAAGTGAAAAATCATCTTGGATCGTTAATCTTTAATCTCTTCGATTTTTTCATTTCAGGTGCGCATAACAAACCGCTCTTGTTGCAGAAACGGCAAATTTAATTATTATTTCATAATAGTTGCTCGGGCCCTGACCTTGCGGTGCTCCCCCCACTCATAGCCGACGGCGAATTTCGGAGAGAAGTGCCTAAGCGCTGAATGGACAGCCGAAAGTACGGCTAACATCACGCACTTTTTCCCCTAGACTTCGCCCCATTTCCTTTTCCGCTCACCAATGGCACAATGGACCAGAGCCCACTGTTGCATCGGAAAAGGAAAAATGGACCGCTTTATGGAGATAAACTATGACGCAAAATCCGGGGAAAAAGTGATGCAGAAGGAAGGTAAAATACAAGGAGACCTTACCAAAATAACGAATGTTTCACAACGGCCAACAATCCGGAGGCGAAGATGTTCCCTCGTTGGGGGTCGCATTGGTGATGGGTAAAGGAAAAAAGGGGCATTGAGGAATAAATTTCCCTGACGCTATGCTCCCATGCTTGATTCCGGTGTAATTACAGCCCGCCATTTTCCTAGATCTGTTAGCTCTCCTTCTCAACATTTTGCAGTCTGGAAACAACCCGTACAGTATATATATTTTGTGGGACAACTCTCAGTACTTGTTCAGGTAACCGTAGGTTTTTCAGAGAAATCGATGAAACTCCCTCTTCTCAACTAACTCGATACAACTTGGAGATCAAGACCGAAACGCTGAACGCCATCTGAATTCCCTCACAGGTATTCTACTGTTCAGAACAGAACATGTGATGATTAAAAAGTTGAATCTCTCATTGACGAAGTTGATCCAAAGCTGCTCGAATGAGTTGAACTGAAATCGATCAATAAATCTGGCTCGATCAATAAATCAATAGCATTTTCAAACTTACGTCGAAGATCTCGAAACCGGCAATATCAAGCACTCCAATGAAGTGATCACGAGAATACCCTTCTGATCCAGAGTCTGGTTACATTTCTTCACCAACCAGTGGAAAATTCTCGAATAGAGACCCTTTGCCATAGCACCGACAGCCCAATTGACCTGAATCGATCGATTATTGATTACTATCCTCTTGTTTATGGTCGCTTTCTCTCAAAGTACCTGTTCAAGGTTCTGTCCCTTGTTCACCCATTCGTTACCGACTTTCACACGAGGGCGAGTAAGAGCCTTCAGGAAGTCTTCCGGCTCGATGCCGTACATGGAGGAAGCTTTCTCCGCTTCTGAAATGTTGGTGGGTGAAATTATTGATTTCCGGGACAGTACCACTATTTTTCCGCGACGGGGCCCCGTCAAATGTCCATAAAGTGTCAAAATTCGCGCATTTATCTTCAGGGGACTCATTTCCCGATTTATGCCAACACCTTTGTACTTAAACGCGTCCTCCGCGATGATCTGGTGGGCGGAACTATGGGAGGAGACCCACAACCAATGCTGCATTCATGGATACTTATTTTTGCTCTCCAAGAGGTTTATATATATCATTGAATGTAATGTTCTCCTCACCATCAGTGCCGTCGGGTTCAGCTTGTTCTTCACGAGGACGCTGCTTGAATTTCATGTTACCCATGTGCATCATAGCAGACACCAATTTATAACAGTTCATCTTTTCCACACTGCTGAATTTCAGGATGTCGAAAGCTTCATCGGTCAGTTGGAATTCTTCCTGCAAGCAGTAATTCAATACCCTACACAGCAACATTTTTTTATTTTGAAATCAGAACATGGTATTTAACTGGTGCAGCGCTTTGGAAATGTAAGCCATTTACAGTTGATATCTGTTTCAAACACCAGAACTTAACACCCGCTTGTTACATGCTGGCAACCGTGTCGGTGTTGACCGGCAATGGACGCGGGCGGTCGCGAAGCGGTTCCACCAACCCATTAGCGCACGCTATGCCACCTCAAACGTCGCATTCGGCGCGCAGCCGCAATCCGAGCCTCTTTACCCGCAACCTATACCGTTTTTTTCGTTATTTCATACGTTTCCAGCACCTTTGACTTCTTAGAACTACTTTTAGATGTAGAAATTGTCCCGTCAGCGGACCTACCTTGTCATTCACACCATCGATTTTCAGCTCAGCTTGAGCAACAAACCAGTAATCCTTGACAGGTTTGTCGAGCATCAAGTCCTATAAAAAACGATATTTTATCGATTTTCCTCAAACAGTGGTGTGATGATGCTTCTGACCTTCAATAGTGAGGGCACATATCCGGAGAACAGCTGGTAGAAGATATGATAACATCGCTCGCCGGGTGCTTGACGAATCACACGGGATTTCTCGAGAAGATCTTAACAAGGGTTCTTGTGAATTCGTGAATAATTATCTCCCTCCCCCCTCTCCTCAGGTATAACCAAAAAATCTACGGCTGTACTTACAATGTTCGATATCGCAAGATGCCACTCGTCCTTGTTTCGAGAAGTGAATTCGGATGAATTTACCGAATCGTGACGAGTTGTTGTTACGAACCGTCTTCGCGTTACCTGCAGTGGAAAAGATGTATATTGATTAGTTGCGTCAGGTAGCAACACGCTTGGTCGCGCGATAACTCCAAGTATGTGCGGTGCCTTTTCGACATCGGCGAAGTCAGTACTGATTATATAATTCTAATATTCATGGAATCTATGAATACCAACGTATATTAAGTCCTACTCACCGAAAGCTTCAAGCACGGGGTTAGTCTGCACGATCTGATCTTCGAGGGTGACTTTCTTCACTGTGCTTTCTTCCTTCTTGCCGAACTGCTGCTGTTGAGAGGCACCGACAGCGGCGAAGTAGGCGATTACCTTGATCACAAAGATTATTGACTGGAGTTTCACGATCGACTACCGTACTCTACAGTACTCACCTTCTTGTGTTTTCAGTCTTTCCAGCTCCGGACTCTCCAGTGATAAGCATCGACTGATTCTCGTGATTTTGCAGCATATTACGGTAGGCTTCGTCAGAGACAGCGAACAAATGTGGTGGCATCTCAGTTCTGAATGTAAGCTTTCAAGAGAAGCGACCAAATGGTTGACCTCTATTAAACGCTAGAGACGCGCCATGCAACTGAGTTCCGATAATTTTTTTCTATCATCCGGCTATATTCGCGTCGATTTGGGCGGACTCTGAGAGGGTTTTAGCAGAGTACGTCGAGCACTAGGAAGCCCCAGCAGGGAGAGGGCCGTATTAAGCCTGAGAAGTATTTGTGTGAAATGGTTTTTTCCTGTTTCATGCGCGCTATCCACAACGTTGTGAGATTCTCCATTGGGTGGAGGCACTATGTGGTTTCGCTGCGCATAGTCTCGTAAAGAAGACACGGTCTACACCAAGTTCCTAGCCACGCAGGGGGGGGGGGCGTATTAATTCATAGCCTGGAAGGAGGGTGGTATCTGGCTTCATAGAATTTTTTCGCTATAAAGTTTTCTTCTAATATTGACTTTTACTGGTTTTTTCCCGTTTCGAATGCACTAAACTTCTCCCAGGACCAGGAAATATTGGAAAAAAGTCTTCCTTGAAATCAAGAATCTTGTTTCACTTTCTGCAAAAATTTTTCTCTGTGGCAGGAAGTGTCCTGGGTGTAGGGTTTGAGTGACTGAAGTTCTGGTCATTCATATCCTGAAAGCATTCCCCCTTGCTTCACAATTTTGTGATAGGGTTTCGACTCTCCCCTGCCCCCCCCCACCCCCCTAACTGTTTCTCAATTTTCTAGCATTATATTTTTTTTGAATTTTTTTTCTGCTCTTCTGATCGATAAAGCCGCTATAACACCATCTGCAGAAAAAGGGCCCTGTTACTCACCTTCGTTTTCCCATGAACATTTGAGCAACGGAATCGGTATAGATGGGTAGTCTTTTGTAGGGGTTGATTACCACACAGAAAAGGCCAGAATATGTCTGAAAAGAGCAATTGTTGAGTTGACTATATCGATTGATCGGTCAACTATACTCTGCTTAACAATCTTATAATGCTGTGAGTGTTGTGAAGTTATCGCACAATTTCTGAAAGCTTTCAGATTTTGTTCTTACCATTAGTAGAAGTTTCACAAGAGTAAATATGCTTTTGCTGATCGATTCACCCGGAAATGCGCCGTGCATTCTTGTTTCGATCATGACTACCTACATGATAAAATATGAGGGAATAGGACTTTCAACTCACTTTTCTTGTTTTAACAATGTTTGTCACTTCTGCCACCTCCTACCACGGTATAACCCAGTTCACAGAATGATCGAGAATGATCGTCCAGCCTTCGCCCAACTTTTGGCTAGCATTCCATGCCATTTGAGGAGGACCTGGTCTGCAGCGTCGACTCAGTCACAGCTCAATAGGTCTGTGGCAGTGTAAATGGACAAGGCGAACAAGGTCAATAGCCTAGCACGAAAGAATAATGTGCCCCTTAGCAAACTTGTGCGGCGCATTTCCAACCAACAGCACCGGTTTAGCACCTAACATCCGACCAAACGCCCACCACAACCGGCCCGCCCACAAATGTCCGCACTGTCAAATCGACGCTAATACTCTATCGTTTCCTTTATGGAACACAATCGACATGAGGCGCTGCTGTCTATAACATATGGCACTTGCCGCTACTATTAAGAGCAAGTGCGAAGTTGTCGTGCCGGCGTAGTTCCGCGACGGGGAGGGCATTTCGTACTATCATTGCTTCCCTAGTTCGGTTTACAAGTCTCACTCTGGCGAAACCTGTGAACTCTTGTGAAGCTGGAGCAAGGTCGTCAAGCCATCATGGTAAAACCTGTCAACTCGAGAAGAGGCTGTCTAGATAGGTCGACACGTCGATGGGAAGTAGCAAAAGTGCAAAATGTCCCCCCCCCCGTCGCCGAACTGTGCTGTTTTCACGGGGATTTGGTCCGACACACGCTTTTTTCGTCATTCCACCACTACATAGCGAGTAAGAACCCGTCGAACCTTTAAAGTTTTACGCCTTTGAAATTTCAATTTATCAGCCCGAGAAAAAGAAACTGAGCGAACAGCCCGTTTTCAATGAAACAGGGTGTTCTCCATTCAAAATTCAGAATATTTATTGGAAGAAACTTTAGCTGCTGTAGGTGTTTTGACCCTCTGAGGCGCAGTTCGGCGACGAGGGAGGCATTTTGCACTTTCACTGCTTCACTTCTTCCGGTTCACTCTGGTGAAACTTGTGAACTCTTGTGAAGCTGGAACAAGCGCGTCTAGCCACCATGGTAAAACGTGTCAACGAGAGAAAAGGCTATCTGGATGGGTCGACACATTGATGGAAGCGAAATGCCCCCCCCCCCTCATCGCTGAACTGCGCCATATTCTGATATTGAAGATCCGCGTTCCAACTGTCTGGCTCTTTGGCAATCTATTGATACTCATCTCCCTAATGAAAAATCCTCTATTACTCAGATTCTCCCTTCTTTTTTTACTCCTACATCTCGTTCTACTCGATTCCTCTCCACCAAATGATTATAGTTTTTCTGAAAAGTTCCAAGAATCTGCGCTGCGGAAATTGTTGTTTGCCAACGGGCGACGATTGACGAGAGAAGAAATCCGTAAGTGTTTGAGCACTCTCCTCAATCTCTCTTCTATCCGTCGACACTATCACCCTTTGATCAAACAAGAAGCACAGCTCGAAGCTGTTCTGTGCGGATTTTCTCAAGAACAACGACGGTTTTCCACCCACTCATTACCGTCGACCTCCGAGCACGGCAAATAAATCCGATAGCACAGGTTATCTCTTTGAACAAAGGTTCGTTAAATGAAGTATCTGGGGTTAATGGAGAAAAACTGTGTTTTGGAACCCTTGAACAATAGACATTTCCATTCTTTCCGATCACTTTGAACATAGTGGCACACTGGGTAATCAGTAGTAGTCTTTTTCCTGAGGTATGCGGAGACTTGTGGATGTATGCCGACGAGTTAATAGAAAAATGAACATATGGGCCACAAATTGATTGGCGAAACTCTTGAATATGGTTTATGTGACAAGAGAATCGTAATTATCCGCGCGCGCCGCGTGCGACGTCGCGCCCGTAAATGACCCTAGTTCTAGGTCGTAGGAGGCAATTCAGAACCGAAAAGGGTTATGATTCCCCGAAGACGGGGCTCAACATGGAGTCCGGTGCTCCAAGTAGACAGGTTAACACGAGTTGAGGAAACGCCGCTCCCATCACTGCGCGCGGCGGAGCGGCAAATCACGATTCTCTTGCCCGTCTCCCCTTGGATGTACCTATAATTGCAACGGTGTGCGCCTATTTTGCTACCACACGCTCCGCAATAGTTCCCTATAACCACATGGGGTGACCCGACTGCATACGGAAATATACCTTTTGAATCTAACGAGTTACTACTTCCAATAAATCCAATATGATAAACTTTTAGGAAGGTCCGGTAAAAGCTCCTGATGTCCGCTGGAGCCATCACCCACATGATTTGTACGCTTCCATCTGTACTGTGATAGGCCCAGTAAAGATGTGATGCGTACCGATGGATATTCATTCTACGACTGACCGAATAGCGTGCTGAATCCTCACTTCAGCCGACTTGAGCTGCTGAGTTCTGAAACCAACTTGGACCTGGTAAGTGGTGCGCCAAGATATCCAGATCTCAGTACTTTCATTCCATTGCCCTAGCTGAATATCACGAATCGGGTGTCACGGGGAAATTACCACCTATATGTAATCTATGTGAAGGCCGAGTGAATGAGAGGAGAAATTCAAGTTGCCAGGTAGTTATCCCAGACCCCCGGAGCTCAGATGGTTCGAATGGAGAATGATCCAGCAAGCACAGGCAGTACAATCGAGTGCCCCTTGTCTATTCTACGGTTTCTAGAACGGCTGCTATGGACCCGTTTATCTGGTGCTTTTATGTTCCTCTTTGCGGGGTGACAGGCAAGAGAATCGTAAATTGCCGCTTCGCCGCGCGCGGCAATGGGCGCGACGTTCCCTTGATTTGCACTACCCTTTCGATTGGAGCATCGGATTCATGTAGAAAAGGACATGGTAGACACCTTATGTCTAATTTTGGTCATACATTGTTCACTCTCGACCAGTACCACCTAAAATCGTCATTAGCGAGCGCGACGTCGCACGCGACGCCACTGGCGCGGCGAATTACGATTCTCTTGCCACATACCCTCTTTGCGAACGCCACGCTTCTTCTCCCACTCAGAATTGTAGAACTGATTGAACGGGAGGGCAATATTTTCGGAGGCTGTTCCTTCCCTTTTTCATTCCCCTTTATAATAATTGAACTGATTACATCACCAAACCCTAGTGCTTTACAAAAAAGGTTTCCGTCGCTGAAAAGCTGAAAAAGAAAAGATAGAAAATTCTATCCTAGTTTTCCCTCATATTTCAGGTCTCCCTCAAGCGGAACACATAGAGCGCCCAGTGGAGTGTCACCAAAAAGACTCTGAAGTGGCAAAAGACCTAAAAACCTCGATAGCTTTTGAAAATATTTCTTGGGTTCTGGTTCTTCCGACCCTACCTTCAATTTCTCTGCTCAGCTAGTTGAAGCTCAAACTCACATAGATAAGCATAGCAGCATAACGTGATCGTAGATTATGTAGTACAGATGCGTCGTTGAGGAACGTCAAATTAGACATGTCCTCGGTTTTTTCGAATTTCGGCGGATTCATCTCTTGAACGGCTTCCTTTTTGAAGACTTTCTGTAAATTGGCGTCATTTCAGATGTGAATTAGTCCGGATGCTTGTGAATATGCATACGGTGCTTATCGGAGTATCTAGAAGACCTTCTTGCGTTCTACGTTTTGGCGCGACGCCAGCCTAGCTCCGACGATTGCCGCCCGCCCCAGAATGGCAACGACCGGTGGAAACGAGCTGGCGCCGCGCCAAAACGAACCTACACGGGAACGCCTCCACCCCACACTCCGTTAAGCATTACATCTATACATCTGCAAGATAAGGTGTAATGTTCATGTAATGCATGCAGTACGCTGAGAAGCAAATCGCCACCGCATCGGATAGGGGGGGGGCATCTTATATAGTTTGTTAGTTTCTTCAGTTTCCATCACACTGGCACTTGTGAACCCTTGTTTGTTGCGAAATGCTTCGTAGGAGTTTACAGGTCTACGGCGATTGGAACTAGCAAAATGCCCCTCCAAGGCGAACAGTGCCCAGATCACATAACCTATAACCCAAACCAGTTCACTCTAGCTTCCCTTGCTCATTCTGCGTCACTCCCTCTCCTAGAAATTGAAAATGAATTTTTTCCATGGCCGCTCTGTGTTCACTTCCACACTAATGTCTGTGCATTAGCATAGGTATCGATTTTACGCGCATGACTAAAATCCATGTGGGCGGGCAGTACTGGAAAGAGCTGAAGTGCTCAAGTAGGACGGGCACTGACCATCTGTCAGGTACTTTCCTATTCACGAGTCTTCCTACTTATCTACCGTAGGAATACTTCTTATGAGGACCAACAGCAAGGATACTGTAGCATTCACCCGACCGCCGCAAATATCTAAGGGAAGTGTGGAACATTTCCATATAACCTCAGCTACTATGAAATACTGGTTTGTAGTTGCACGTCTTATTGTAGCAATCTGTTGATCGATCCGCGTCAGATCAATAATCGATCAATAAGAACATGAAATATACCTCATTGCCTTGTCCAAGATTAACGGTGACATTGTCACCGGTTGTCTTCGTGATGATTCCTTCGATATAGCCCTCTTCAGTATCTGGCACCCAAACGTTCTTCTTCGAGTCATATGGGCGACTTTGGTCCTGAATGATTGACCGATTACTGTGACTGGTCCTACGTGGATTGAGGTCTGATAAAAAAAGTGATACGATGATAAAAAGGCAATAACAGTACAAAAATTCACTCAGTCTGAATTTAATCAAGTAATTGACCTTAGATCGACAGAAGCATGGTAAATTTGCAATTCTCTGGCAATGAGCATCCTGAAAGCGCAGTTAGAAAATAAGGGGGGGGGGGGAAGTTTTGCACCTTCGCTATTTCCCATGGTGGTGTTCATTGCTTTACGAGAGATGACGTGTGCTTTTTTTCTCAAGACTTCACAGTAGTTTTGTCTCAGTACTTCACGGACTCAGACTACTATCATTTGTGATTTTACAAGATTTTACAAGTCTCTACTTGGTGGCTCGACATGACGATGGACTTGCGAGAAGGTGAGATTCCCCCCCCCCCCGAGTCAGTCTCAAAGTGCGCCAAGCTGTTGCTAATTATGGAACGCTGTCTAATGGGACTCTTCAAACATGTTCTAGAACGTCTTGGGTCAGACACTGAACCCTTGACTGCTGTCATGCTAGCCACAACCTTCCCATAGCAAACTGAGAGTACACGGTGTAATTAGGTTACTAAAAATGATCAGCCGCATTATAAAGAGCGCACTTTTTTTTTAACGTTGTGGTATCATCTACCATCAGGGTACAGCATAGTGATGTGAAACACATGGGGGGGGGTGCATATTTGGTCGTTGTTGGGAGTGGGTGCGGGGGGGGAGGGTGTAGGCGATAGGAAAAACTATTCCCGGTTGTTGAATATTCGTGGTTTAAGGTCGTTTCACATGTGATTTACCCCCTCCGCCCCTTCCCCTGCCCCCTGCCGCTCAACAGCAAAATTTGAATTTGGTGAAAAACTGGTAGAGAGCTAGAAACTTGTAGGAAAGTGGTAGGCAGGTGTTGGGGAAGGGGGAAAGTCGTACCGAGACCCTCTTTCGAGGGTGGGGAGGGGTCTACTGACACCACCATTTCATACATGACGATGCTGTGCCCTGTCTGCCATGGCTCATGAGAAAGGCCAACTCAAAAAAAAAAAAATTCCAGAAAAGTCAAGACTCAAGGGTTCAACAGTCCAAATGAGGGTAAACGCAACTTTGTCTAATAAATGTGGAACTCGGAATACTACAAAAAAAGTTCTTGTGCCTTCAAGGCAGGTGAAATGTTGTAGGCATTGGAAGTTTGCAGACGGGCAGTGGCCTTTGGAGGCCAAAATAATTATTGCCAATGGTCAGGTCCTAATTGCCACATCAAAGTCTGCTGTCAATTTTGGCGCTAACACTTAGGGACCATCTGGCCGCGTCTCTGTGCCCTTCCACGGGAAAAGGCTTACAGTAGGATTAGAGTGTAGAAGACCCACCCAGGTCGCCGAAAGTTCGTCTCGCAGCTAAGAAATAGTTGCAGAAGGAGGCGCAGGCAAGTGGAATCTCCCAACAACGTTAGCGACCTATTTTTTTTCGAGGGCCACATTTTTTAGTCAATTCAAGAGGTAAAAAACAGATTCTTGGTGGAAAAAAAACTCGGTTATTAGAACCCATAGAGGGTAGACGTACCGCGAGCATTTGCTCTCGGGATCGTCGCAAATATTGCCATCCAGGATCATTTTCGTAGTCCATGACGATGTGTGATGTGTGGATACGAGTAGCGCACGGCTTCTA